TTTTTCGGTTCGGTTCAATTTGGAGAAAGTCAAACGGTCAACTATTATTTTTTGAAGTGATTTCAATTCGATTTTTAGAATGGTTCAAAATTCTCCGAGTTTCATGCTCAACGGGCCAAAGTCTAAAGTCCAAAGCCAACTGCCTCTAGAAGAGGGAAAAAGAAAATGGATTTTGATTAAAAAATGGTTTATCAAATAAACTTTAGCATGTGAAGGGTTTTGGAGTTTTTGGGGTACACAATTCGTTTACCTAATTAAAAAATTAAGCACGTCACAAGGCCACCACTATAGTCTATGGCTGCTTTTCCTGCTGTCAGTCACAAATCTTCCGGCGCCAATTTTATTTCCATTTTTTCTTGAAATAATTTCACATTAATAAAATGGCCAAAAGAAATTGAGGGTGCACTTAATTAAATAAATGTCATAAGTATTCAATTGTCACATAGAATTAGTGTTCTTGCTAGAGAAATCTTAGCAATGTTAGAGATTTAAGATTAAAACTGCTTAAAACAATAGGAGATACGATAAATAACGTTGTGACACATCCGTTAATTGGCATATTAATGAGTGGCCACTATGGACAAAAGAGCGAAAATAGAACAGTACACGAGTTGAGCTCGAGCTCAAGCCCTTATCGTGTTGAACTGCTAAGTTAGGAGCTCAAGTTATATTCTTTGACAAACCTTAATAACGAATCAAATTATGCTTAAAATTCAAAAATTTACATTAGATCTCATATGTTAGAGATCTAATAGCATTATGTCAAATAGCATTATTTTGCAACAACTGTTTGACATTGCTTTGCGATGCGGCAGTTCGAGACTCGGAGATCGGACTAGGCGGATGGATCAGAGATTCTACTGGAGTTCGTATGATGGCCTTTACCGCCCGTATGATTGGTTCTTTTTCCCCTCTTTTGGCGGAAGCCTTAGCTATTCGGCATGGGATACGAATTACTATGGACTTGGGCCTAAACCTTCAGTCGGTTTTCACGGACTCTTCGGGCTTCGTCAGTGGTATTTCCCACCAAGATGATCTCGAACCACTGCTTGGAGTGTTTGACGATATTAGAGCCCTCCTATTTTCCCTTAATTGCGATCGATGCGATCATGTGCCAAGGGACCAGAATAGGGTGGCTCACAACTGGGCGAAGTGGACGTTTGTGTCGCAGACTTCCTATGTTTGGAGCAAATATCTTCCTATTTTTTTTTCCTTGTTTTTGTTGATCGGAACTCGTTTGTTATGTGACAGTATGTTTAGTTACTTATAAAGCAAAAAAAAAAAAAACATTATTTTGAGGATTATATCTCCTACATTTTTCATTTTCAACATTTGTTATTCTCCAACGGTGGCGGTTTCTTGGTTGGCGGGGGCAACAGGTTGTGTGGTGAGGGAGATCTGGGTTTGCTGGGCTCCCAAGATTGTCTATGGTGGCTACCTCGGGCTGGTTTTGGGTCTGTTGGTCCTTGTCGAGATAGTCGTAGGGAGTGTTTCTCGATTTGGGTTTGTTGTTTACTAATCTGTTGGTGACTCGCCTTTGTCTGGAGGTTTTCCGTCTAGGAGGTAATGTTGGCCCGAGTTGTTCGGATCCAGTCAGTCGTAGGTGTATTGGAGTTTATGGACATGCAATTTTAGTTCGATTCTGTTTCTGGGTGATAATCTCTGGGTGTTAGTCCTGTTGGTATTACTGCGTAGTGGCTCACAAGCCTTAGGCTCACAAGCCTTGTGTGTTCTTTTATGCTTTTACCTTCCATTATTTGAATTAGAATTGTTCACTTGTCGGAGTGTAGATTACTATTTTTGTAGTTGTCGGTGTATAAGTTTAATTATTCTAGGCTATTGGCATTCTTGTCCTGTAAGCCTATCTAAATTCAATGGTGTAGTTGTCTCAGTCAACTAGTTAGTCGATTATAACTATGTTTTTATTAATAAATTATTGTGTTTTTAGTTTAGCATGATTTTTTTTTTTAATTTTTTTCTTATCAAGTGGTAACTACTAATGAGACAACTAGTTAGTCGATTATAACTATGTTTTTATTAATAAATTATTGTGTTTTTAGTTTAGCATGATTTTTTTTTTTAATTTTTTTCTTATCAAGTGGTAACTACTAACAAATCACAGGGGTAGTTTATATATATATAAAACAAAAAAATTACCTGGATAAAAATAGCAAGAAAAGAGAATTTGTGGTCAAAACTAAAAAGCACGTATTCTCATAATATGTTTTTTTAATTAATTTTTTTTAACAAAACGTACCTATTTCGGTAATACGTTTTAAAATTATATTTGTAAAATAATATAAACAATTGAAAAAACAATATAAAGCGTATTTCCATGATACGTTTTAAAAAAAAATAATAAACAAAACGTATTTTGATAATACGTTTTTTATTTTAAAATTAATAAAAAATAAAATTAATATGTAGTATGTATTTTATGTTTTGGGCTCGTTTGGGCTCGTCTGAACTCAGAATTGAGTTCATTTTTTCCTATACACATCTAACGAACCCTCTATTCAATGATGCTTTCATGGCCAAATTATTCTTGAAATCATATTCTCCCAAAGCTCTTGACCAACACATTAAACGTGTTTCGCGCGACTTTACTTTTTGGGCCCGTTCGGACTCGTCCAAACTCGAAATTGATTTCTGCTTCTTTCTATGTCGCCAATGAATCCTTCTACGCAACCATGATTGTTCGGTCAATTTTCGGGCTACTTCTATTTCTCACGAGCTAAATAATTAACAAATCACCCATTATATAAACAGATGGCCCATGGAAGATTTATTAATGGGTGATTTGTTAATTATTTAGCCCGTGAGGAATAAATTTGACCCAAAAATTGACCGGCAATCATGGTTGTGTAGACGGGTACATTGGCGACATATAGGAAGAAACAGGACTCAATTACGAGCTTGGACGAGTCTGAACGAGCCCAAAAAGCAAAGTCGCGCAAATCACGTTTAATGTGTAGGTCAAGAGCTTTGGGAGAATATGATTTCAAGAATAATTTGGCCATGCAAGCATCATTTTTAATTTTTTTATAACTTAATTCCTAATTATTTTTTTTTACAGTTCGATTGGGTGCCCTATGAATAGTATTTGGAGGATGGTTCTCTCTCGAATAAGTGCATAGAAGATCAACATATTTAGATGTATAGGGGGTGGATCTTCTGTTGGAACATACGTGAAGTCCACTTGTCTGATAAAGTTCTCCGTCAGTTTGGGTGTCAGCAGTCCATCCCCCAAAATCTGATGATTAGTAGTGGGCAAGAATGGGAGACACACCATAGAGGCCAGGGAATGACTGGGAGCACATTAAGTGATTGGGTCGCCTTTCATTTATCGCTTACCAAAGGCTGAGTCGATGAAAGAGTAACAAAATGTCCTCCAAGACGCCCCTGTGGATCACTTTCTACAGGCTGAAGAAGGTTACATTGATTGGTTTTACACTAGGACTATGAGACTTATCAGTGACCCTACCAAGTACAAGGTGGTCCAACAGGACGACGGCTATCAGACAGTTGCCGAGCGGGAGAAGTGCGATGCAAGTGTTCATAATTTGTGGTTTTTTTACTTTGAATTTTATTTTAAGACTCAAGGCCTGGAGGGGGTTTATAACTCGTTAGCAAATATTCAAAACATATTTCTTACACTCCCTCCATGGGTGCATGTTGCATTCCAACAGTCCTACAACCTTGTCTATAGTTCTCTGACTGTTGGAGACTAAAAGGTCACAAAAGGGGCGTCGTTCAGTCAAGTCCTATCCGAGGAGGACTACATCCCATCACAGAGGACACAGTCACACCGGACGAGGCATCAACCCGCTACCAACATTGGTGGAGGTAGAAGACGTCGTGATCGCGAACGACAACAACGCCCGTTCGAACTCGTCTAAGCTTGAAATTGAGTTTCGTTTTTTTTATATGTTGCCAACGAACCCGTCTACACAACCATGATTGCTCGGTCAATTTTCTGGCTAAATTTATTCTTCACGGGGTTAAATAATTAACAAATCACCAATTAACAAATCCTCCCTGGACTATCTATTTATATAATGGGTGACTTGTTAATTATTTAGCCCGAAAATTGACAGGGCAATGATGGTTGTGTAGACGGGTTCGTTGGCTACGTATAAGAAGAAGCGGAAATTAATTTCGATCTTGGACGAGTCCGAACGGGCCCAAAAAGTGAAGTCGCGCGAATCACGTTTAATGTGTAAGTCAAGAGCTTTGGGAGAATATGATTTCAAAAATAATTTGATCATGCAAGTATCATTGAATAGAGGGGTTCGTTAGCTACGTATAGAAAAGAACATAACTCAATTCCGAGTTCAAACGAGCCCGAAACACAAAATACATATTCATTAATTTTAAAATATAAAACGTATTATCAAAATACGTTTTAGTTCTTAATTATTTGTAAAATGTATTATGTGAATATGTTTTACAATTAAATTTAAATTATAAATTAATTTTATTTATAACACGTATTTTCGAAATACGTTTACAATTAATTAGATGTAAAACGTGTTATGAGAATATATTTTACAATTAAATATATATTATAAAATTTATTTTATTTATAAAACGTATTTTTGAATTATGTTTTACGTTGATTATATTAACTTAATTACATGATTAATTTAATTGACAGTAAACGTATTCCCAGAATACGTGCTTTTGATTTTTTTACACCTATTTTTTTGTTTTTATTTTTATCCACTTAATTTTCATTTTTTTTATTTTTATTCGGATAAAAAATTCCAATCACAAACATGAAACATTCAATCATCAAATATTGATAGTAAATAATAAATAAGTTTACGGGTCATTTGAAAGCAATATGCACCAACTGTCATCCCAAATTCGTAAATATCACCCAAAATCGAGGGTATACCCATTAAGGGTACCGCTATATAAGTCCCCCCTCCAAACTTAAAAAACACAGTTTCAAACCCAGAAACAATTTTATCTCATTATTTTCCCCCTAAATTAAAATGTCGGCCTGCAGCAAAATCCGCCACATCGTCCGGATCCGGCAGATGCTCCGGCGGTGGCGGAAGAAGGCGGCGACGTCGGCTCGCCAGGCCCCTGCCGACGTGCCAGCTGGGCACGTGGCTGTAGCCGTGGGCTCGGGCCGCNGGCGGTTCGTCATCCGAGCCGCCTACCTGAACCACCCTCTGTTCAGGAAGCTCCTGGTTCGGGCCGAAGAGGAGTACGGGTTCGGTAATCCGGGCCCACTGGCCCTCCCTTGCGACGAGTCCCTGTTTGAGGATATCCTGAGGTACGTGGCCCGAACAGAGTCGGATACGCACTGCCCGGCCCGGTTCATGAGCTTCGAGGATTTCCAGAGATACTGCCGCGTGGAATTTAGGAGTAATTTAGAGTTTTGGGCCGAATCTCGGCCCCTTCTTCAAGGTGGGCCTGATAGGCCCATTTTGTGAGTCAAGTGAACGATGAGTTGGGAACAAGAATGGAAATATTTTTTTGACCCGGGCTGACTCGTCCGTGTTAGCTCTCGCATTGCCATTTGCTTTGTTAGGTATGACCGTATGAGGACCATTTCTCGATTTATGGCGCAATGGTCATGTTAGTATCCTATGTATCGTTCCAATTTTATCGGATGTTCCTGAAGAGACCTTTGTTAGGCATGGGGAATCTCCTTTTTTCCTCCTCTCTAATTTATCCTTCATTTAACTCGGGTGGGTTGATGAGTCACTGGGCCAAAGACTCGGTGACCGTGTTATGAGTGGAGATGGCGGCAAGTGGGTGGGCGAGTCACCGCAGAGTCGTCGTCCAGAGTCGGAATTGGAGACGAGTCATGGCAAGTGATCATGAAGAGGATAGAAAATAAGAAAGGAGTGATGATTTGACAATGACGTCACATCATGTAAATGAGTGTTTTTTATTCGATTTTTATTTTTTTCATGGAAATTGTAAATGGGTTGCATTCAAGCATATGTAAGTGTAGCCTGTGTAGGGAAAAATTGGGAAAAATACATAACTAACCTACTTATGAAAAAGAATTCCATAAAAATACTTTATTATATTGAATTTCAAAATTACTCCAACAAGGAGTAAAAAATACTCCAACATGGAGTTACAGTAATTCAAAATTTTAACTGCCCTCTTTCTCTCTCTTCCTTCTAACTCCCACACTTCTCGTTAATTTTTTTTCTCTCTTCTGCACTTATCTCTTTCTTCTTCTTAAATTCTTCTTCTTGAATGCCTAAAGAAATAAACCAACAAAAAAGAAAAAAATAATCAATTGGTTATGTACATAATAATTAAACCAGATTAAAAGGAAAAAAAATTCGAAAACAAAAGAAAAGTTAAACAGAAGACCGAATCATTCAGAAACTTGGTATGGGCCAAGACGACGAAAGTTTTGATTCAACAACTGACATAAATAACCCTGAAAGGCACACAAACCATTGCCACACTAACTAATCACTCTTGGTAAGTTCTCGTAGTTTTTTCTTTGACATCGAAACATAAAGAAAAACATCTTTCAAGAATAAATTAATATAAAAAAATTAACAATAAAACATTTTCAAGCAACATAAAAATAACCTAAAAGCAACCCAAAAATAGCGTAAAAACAACATAAAAACGGATGCCCACAAACTCGGTAACCTGCTCATTGGCAAAAATTCATAACCGGCGCAGCTATTGAGCACAGAGAAATTGGGGCAATTGGGAGCTAATTATGGAGCCCAGAGAAAAGTGCATAATTATGCATTTTTCTTCCTCATTGTCTCCACGTCATTTTCTCTCAATTCTCCATCTTCTTCACGCCAAAAACCTAGTTCGGTTCTTAGAAATATAGAATCAGACGCAACCTATTTTTACTTATATGTACAAAAATTTTGCATAAACACAACAATATCATGAATCAGAAAAGCAAATCACAGCTTGGAGGTGTTTACTTGTGAGAAAATTACACATACGAACAAATTGATTACACGACATACCTCTGTATTTCATGATTTGCACGAAGAAGATGAGAGGAGATTGGAGATGGGCTTGAGCACAGTATTAGTAAATCAACTCTTTTCGATAGCGACGAATGGTGAATTTTCGGCATTGACGTGGGTCTATCGGCGGTACACGCGATTCATCGCCGTGTGTTGCTCCGAAACATCTCTTAAGATTTATCCCATCTAAAAAAATGAGAGATTTTGAGAATTTTTAGGTTAGTTTTCTGTTTTATAAAAAAAAAAAAAAAAAAAAAAGATGATGATGGAAAGTTATTTATCGTGCCAAAGAGGGAGAGAGAGAGAGAGAAATAAATGAGAGAAGATAAGGATGGAGATATAAATAAATATTTAAAGAAGAGACATAAAGAAAAATAAGAAAATAATAATTGTTGTTTGGGGTATAAATGAAAATCAAAGGAGCAGTTTTGGCTAAATAACAAAGCGTCACAACTATGTAAAGATTGGTTGAGAAAGGACAAGCAGCGTCATTATTTCTGAAAAATTCATTATTTAGCGGATTTTTTTTATTTTTTTTTCCTGTGCCAATATTTAGCGGAATTTTTAGGGGCAATTTCTTTAAAAATACTTACACCCTTAATCAACTTTCTAAGTCAGTCCATATATATAATTTCTATCTATTTCACTACATACCCTCTAATCAAGTTCCACTTAAATCCCTCTAATTAAAATAAATCACAAAGAAATAAAATTGTGACATCATCACACTACCTACCTAATTTTACAAATTATTTTATTATTTTTCCTTACGTAAAAATCTTCTTCCACAAGTTTTCTTCATCTCGCCGGCGCCGGCGACATCAAATACAAACCAGACCCTGAGGCTTTTTTCGGAGGCAGCAAATTCGGCGACATTGGGGCTTTTTCCGGCCAAAAAATCCTAGTTCTCTGTCTGAAAATTTCTATTTTTCTGGCAACATTGGGGCTTTTTCCCGCAAAAACTTGATGTAGTAAGTAATGTATGTATGATATGAGAACTTTGGAGTCCAAAAATCATCTTTAATTCATATATTTTGTTTAATTTGTGAAGGATTGAATTTTGAATATTGTTGTTCATATTAACCCTAAAAAAATAAGTGATCAAAATCCTTTTGTTTTTGTTCATGTATACTAAATTTATGCTATTGTTAGGTTATGAAATAGATAGAAATTATATATATGGACTGACTTAGAAAGTTGATTAAGGGTGTAAGTATTTTTAAGTGGTACCACTATTCATGATTTGTGTACCTCTATTTGTATATATAGTACCTACTTTGCTCATTGTAGGTACCATATGTGCTGGGAAATGTGAACTTGTTTTTTTTTATCCAATTATTGTTAGATACATGGAAGGGGCACAAAGTGATATATTAGAGAGTTGTACCTACAAAGATGAAATGTATGTGTTCTCTATGAACCTTGAATCAACTCTTGACGAAGTGTACAGTCTCATTTGGTAAGAGGTGGATGATTGTTAGTTTGGAAACCGTCATGTTAAACTATATTACTCTAAAGGAAAAAAAGAGAATTAATTTGTGCGGTGAGGAAGATGTAAAAAACATGATTCAGTTACATGTTTGTTGGAAAGTAAATATTGTAGAGATAGTTGTCATTGAAAGAAATGAAAGTCCGGGCATTGGAAGAAATGGAAGACCGGATGAAAGAGTCTATGTCGATGAGCATGAGCGGGTAATGTTGCTTTCAGAATATTAATGAATTTATTATTGATATATGGTGTATTTGTATCATCATATCTTAACTCATTAATTTCTTAACTAGTTCCATTATTTATAAAAATTTGTATTATTTTATCATTTACGCAGAGAAATCTTACGGGAAGGAGAATAGAAGTTGGTAATGCAAGATAAATCGATAGATTCGTGAATTGCTGGAAAAAAAACTCAAAATACACATTTGTGTAACAATCTTATACAAACCCTTTACTATTTACCATTTACATCCCATTTTATGTTCGGAAAACAGAGTAAGAAAAAAAGAAAAAAAAAAACACCTAGATTGGGCTGAAAAAAAAAACATGTTTGGAAGCACAGACACAAATACACATAGTCAATTAGACACAAATACAAATCGCCGGAGGAGGAGAGTAGTGGGCGTGAGTCGGACGAGCAACGAATAGTCGGAATTTTGACGTGAATCGCCGGACGAGTACAAGCAGTCGATGAAAGAGGACACTAGATTCACTCACTGAGTAGTTCACTCTCAATCGATGAAATAAGGCTCTGAAATGTTTTTTTCAAAATTCCTCATGTGATCCCTTAGAACTGCCTAACAATCTACAGAATGGGCTTTATTACCACTTAATGGGCTTTATTATGCCCAAAATAAAACAGTTTTGTGTCTTAAAATGTAAATTAGACGTGTCCACGTTCCTAATAAATCCACGTAGCTATTTTTTCGTCGACCACATGTGGGCTTTAGGCTCACTGAATGGGCTTATAAGAATAAAGGTAAATTATCTCCCTACGCTCTACTTCAATCTCTCAATATGGCCCATATTGTATAGGCCGCGTTGAAGGCCTACCATGGACTATAAATCGAAAAATATCCGACGAACTGAAACTATGCCCGGACCAAAGCACTATAAAAAAACTTGGGGGAAAACCATATTTATTAACTCTTGTTTTTATTATTATTATTATTATTATTATTATTTTTTTTTGGTTTCTTTTCCTAAAAGGAAGACAACTAAATTAATAACTAACACAGTGAATGTTAAAATTCTTGCAGCATAAAAAAAAAAAAAAAACAAGTTACTTATTAAAGTTCAATAAAGTTGCAAAAATCAATCTCTCAGTAACTTTTGTTGACTAACATTTTTTTTTTTTTACCATCATTGACAAAATCACGGGATCAATAATTTTCACTTTTTTTTTTCACACGTTTCTATTTTTTGTGCATTTTGTCAATGAATTGAGGTGGTAAAATTTAGTTTTGTTTGTTGTCACTTATTTGAGAGTGGAAGTCAATTTCATGAGATAGCAGACTTTTGCTTTT